TATTTGTTCCGATCAAAGGATAACAGTCGGAGAACCGCTAGTGATATGAACTCTAAGAGAACTTAGTTGTCGTACTGACCTAGAACATTTGATGAGCGTAACCTGTCATTAGTAAAACTTTTTTTCTTTTATATATATGGGTGTCACATTAAGGATATGAATATTTTTTACCAATCCCAATCCCATTAAATAAGCCTTCATTTTATTTCTCATAATGAGCTTATAAATTAAATTTATAATTGTAATTAAATATGAGCGAGAATCATAAAAATTACTACCTTAATTAGTCTTAAAAAATTCGTGAGTGTTCTTAAATTCGACCTGCTCGGTCGGATAGGGAGTTGGAGGATACATGATCCTCTATGCTTAATTGTTAATAGTGCAATAAAATAGGAGCACAGTACAATGTATGTAGGCTCAATATAAAAATGTTTCTTAATACCAAAACAATTATCAAAGGATAGAACTTAAAGAGGACAAATAAGAATATTGATAAATAAAAAAATTGTGATTATTAAAGGGTAAATGTGTCTTAAAAATAGTATTCCCTTTACCTGTTGTTATAAATTTCGCTCCTATTAAATTTTTAAAATAATATTTTGCTATCTTCTAATTAATGTTTTATTTTTAATAATTATATGCTACTGATTGGTTATTTTAAATTTTATGGTTTACTTTATTTAACCGAATAATACAATGGTAATTAATTTAAATATAAAATTACCAAAATTATAATTATTATATGCATATTTAAATATTTCTTTTTATATTATTTTTTACATAAGTTAGTCAATTAATTAATTTTTATTAAATACACTTAATTTAATTAAAAAAAATTATTGACTTTTAATTTTAGCTCTTAATAACTTTTTTTATTAACTTTTGAACTATGTCAAATGGTATTGTAAACTTTTTTTTTAACAATAATGAAAAAAAAATTAAAACTTTGTGGATATTTTGTAAACTTTGCTGAAAAAATAACCGATTATTTTGTACTCTTCTATCCGTTGGTTTGTTTGATTTTTATTGGGCCGTTCTCCCTTCAATAAAGGCCGAAATAGTAACGCAAGTAATCCAAATGGGGTGTCAAGGAATTTTGTTGGGCCAAGTGGATCGTCTTGACTTACTACTAAGCCTCCGTACATTCTGTTTTTTCAAAACCGAACAACTTCTACCAAAAAGAAAAAAATAAATAAGGCTCGGTGATATATAATTATATATATATTTACTTTGAAACTTCATACCCTTTCAAACTTCCAAAAAAAAATAACCTCATCATTAAATTTAGAGTTTCAAAAAATATGTTTTTAAAACATTAATTTCATTATTCTAAAGAGTATTTTTTAGAATAGTAAAATTAATATTTAAAAATATATATTTTTGAAATTTTGTTTTTCATATACTTTTAAAACATATTTTTTGAAACATCATATCACAATTTCAAAAATAATTTTTGAAACACTAATTTCAAAAAAACTCTTTTTCAAAACACAAAATGTAATGTGTTTTTCTAGAAATGTGAAAGAGAAAGAAGTGTTCAAAAAAAAAATATGCATTTGACTCAATACCTTTAACATTATCAAAGAAGTTGCACACACCTATAATGTTATAGTGCACTAGTTTAATGACTTGAGTGGGTGTGAAAACTAGTAGAGTGAGTTATAAAGCATGTATAGTTCATTTTACTTCATGTATTTAATATCAATATTTTTTGATATTTTATCAATACGTATTGGTGAAATATCCAAAACTTTAAAATATTACAAAAATCTTATTTGATCTCGACACTCAAGGATTTTTTTTATCAATACTTATTAGTGTTATGTATCGAAGAAGTATCAAAGCCTAAAAATTATGAAAATATGATATAGCTAAATAATATATATAATCATATTTGAGTAAAAAAAAGCATATTTAGAAACATTGTCTCTTTATGAACTAAAAATGAAAATTATCCTCTTTATGGATGATTTTAAGAAAGAAATGTGATTGATGGTATTATTTTTATTTGTAAATAATAAGAGGTAGTTTATGATAAAATGATTTATATTTTTTTTTGTTTTTAGTAATATACAAGAAGTTTGTTTTTATTTTGGATTAGCAAAATTATAATTATATATTTATTATGTTTATAAATTTTAATCAAAATTACAATTACACATTATATATATAAAAAATGTATCTGACACTTATCATATCCTATATATTTTTAAATAATTGTGTCGTATCTGATACAAATATCGTATTTGTGCATCATAAAAGAGGAATAAGAGGATAACAGTATGAAAACTGAAATGAGAATGGAAAGAGTAATGCGAATGCTGAAATAATTTAAACTATGAAGAGTGGGGAGAAGATAAGAAAATATATATGAAAACTGAAAGGGAGAGAAAAAGATATTTGTAGAAAAAAAGGAGAAAATATTAAATTAAATATTAAAGATATAAAATTAAAAAATTAAAGAATAAAAAAATTAAAGATATATTGATTTTTTGTTTATTAAAAAAAAAGAGAGGAAAGAGGTGTAATTATTTTTAAAAAAAATAAAATAAAAAGAAGAGGAAGAAGAAGAGAGGTGTTACTATAACAAATAACAAACAACATATGGATCTTAGTTTAGACCCTAAGTTAACATTACTCCTTTTTAATTCTTCCAACAATAGCCCAATCCATCATCTTGTTCGGAGATTCACATCGTTAACCAAGAAACAAGAAAGAGTGAAAATCACATGTTAAAAAATGAAATAAGAATCAAGTCTTCGGTTATAGTTATACGGTTCTACGCAAAAATGAATATATATACATACACCCACCCGCCATAAATATTTTATTTTATTTTTTTAGTCTGGAATTGAGTTTAAGGTATCCCATCATCCCCAGTCGAAAGCCATAAGACTAATTTCTTGAGAAAATGAAGTATTAGTTAAGGATCAATTTCCCTACCTATAGGTACTACTTTATAACATGTTCAAAGATCAAACTCTTTTCATATATTTAGCCTGTGTTTACTATCACGTATGAAAAATCACGTTTAACGTGAAGCTACAACGTGTAGCTTCACGTTAAACGTAAACGTGACAGTAAACACGCACTTAAAAAGACCTAATTGTATCCCACATTCTAGGTACCAAAGCATCTATATGCGATTAATATTCTCGTAATTCGTACCAAAATGAAAAACAAGTGTAAGTGTGAACAATTAAAATAATCTTTGCTCTTGGTTTATTCAAATTTATTTTGAAATTGACATACTATCGATCGATACAAATTGTAATCACCTGTCTTAACTAAATTATTCGAGATTTGAATCATGATTTTAAATATAAAATAAATTATATTAATAAAAAAATATAGACATATTTTATGTATTCTCAAATTTGGATAGAAATTAGTTATATTTATATTATAATACTTTATGTTAATATGATAATTATAAAAATAAATAACATGACAGTGAAACTGAAGTGACATGTGGATCCATAGGGTGTGACGGTGGCGAAATGAGGCGTGTACAAGTGGAGACGATGGCAGGAAGTAAAAGTCAGAGTAGAAGACGAAAAATATTATAACTAAGAGAGCCCACAAAATATGTCACCATGTTCCATACTTGTTTACTTCTCCATACCTTCATATTCATGTTCATTAAAACAAATCTTTCTTTTTCTACCAAAAATAAAATATTCAACAAAGAAAATATTTCTTTTACATTTTTTGTCCATTTCCTCACGCCTATGAAAGTGATTGATTATTATACACAAAAACCATGGCTTCATTGTTATTTCTACTGCCATTCAATTCAATATCCACTGTCTCTGGGATAAGAGGAACCATAGATCATACCTTGGCTATCACTTAAACTTATTTTGTTAACGTAAATTTAACTTATCTTCCATGTTAACTTTTTAATTTGATTCTTTCTTATATTATGATTAATCTTGAAATTAAACTTTAATATTCATGCACTTACAGGATAAATAACTTTATCAACGATTAAAAATCACCTTAACTATAAAATTATAAGTAACTATGACAAAATCTAACAACTTTACGATGTGTCACAATTAATGTATTTAAATATTTAGATTATCAGTATATTTAAATTAAGTTATTTAATGTTGATTAACATTTCTTTTTCATAAGAAAAATTATAATGCGTGAACAAAATTTGAACTTAACATTTTATACATATTATAATAAAACTAGCTATTAATATTAATATTGATTAATATAATTAGTAAAATGATATTTATATTATCAACTAAATCCATGAAATTCTTTAAAATATTATATTTAATTACATGTTACGTAGCAATTAATTTAAAAAATATATAATTTAAAACTATCTAATAATTTCTCATTTAGTGGGAATATTTAAGAAAAAATATAAGAAATTAGAAATATGTATAAAAATATTATAATTCAAATATCAATTTTTCTGTTACTTTCATGATGTCAAATAATTACAAATTACACTCTATTCATTCCTATTATTTTAATTCTCCCATACTCTTTCATTCTTTTTTTATTTCTCTTCTGTCCCTCGCAAAGGGAGAGAAACGTCCATTCCATCTCTATATTTTATGCGTACAATTTATTTGATCAGAAAATAAAACGAAATAAAAATCGATGCAAGATAGGAAAAAAAAAATAAAATAAAAAATAAAAAACTTAAGAAATCCCCATCTAAAGTCCAATCAATGCAATAATGCGAACCGAAGGCAAAGCAACAAAACAAGTGAAGAGTTTTTATTCATAATAAAGTAAAAAAAAAATGAAAAATGTGAAAAGGAAAAAAATAGAAAAGGTTTGGGGAAAAGGTCACGTGGTGTGGTGTCATCTACCGAGTGAGAGGAGAGAAAAATATGAGAAAGAAAGGTTGGTGGGAAAAACCAAGTAAACCATTTAACAGTGATAAGTGTAGTATTTATTTGAAAGGAGTAAAGGGCAGTATAGTAAGTAAACAGTCCCTTCTCATCTATGGCTCCTATTATAAGCCCAACCCAGACGCTCCTTTTCTCCGAACTCCAAAGTCCAAACACAGAGGCAAACCCACCGTTACTCTCTCTCTCTGTTCATAGATTCTCTCCCTCTCTCTCTCCATAACCCTTCTCGAACCTCTCTCTCTGGTGTCTCTAGAAGTGGTGGTTATTCTGAGTGATGGGTATGCCCTGCCGCTGTTCCCACACCTCCCACATCACCGAAATCATCATCACCAGCTTCTTCCGCCACAAGCCTTAGATCTTTTCATGGCCATTTAAATTCCATCTTTGGTCGGAGTAACCAACTAGCAATAGCATGCCGAGTGGAAGCACCTTTCCAAACATGACAACTTTCCTTCACAACCACAACCACAACCACAACCAAAACACTTGTCAACCTCTCCACTCTCTCTTCCTCTCTTCCTCTGCCACCCCTTTCCTGGGTTCGAGATCCATGGTGAGTTTCGAAGGAGAAGGAGGGAGCAAGGGGTCGTTGTTCCAGGGCTATGACCTGGAGGAGAATGGGGACGAGTACTTCCACCACCCCGAGAAGAAGCGCCGTCTCTCGGCCAACCAGGTTCAGTTTCTGGAGAAGAGCTTCGAGGAGGAGAACAAGCTGGAGCCCGACAGGAAAACCAAGCTCGCCAAAGACCTCGGCTTGCAGCCACGACAGGTTGCTATTTGGTTCCAGAACCGTCGCGCTCGCTGGAAGACCAAACAGCTCGAGAAGGACTACGACACTCTGCATGCAACCTTTCAGACTCTCAAAGCCAACTATGACCTCCTCCTCAAGGAGAAAGACAACTTAAAAGCTCAGGTAATTATTCATTTCATCCACTTATTTCATAATTAAACTTTCTCTACTCATATCCATATTAATATATATAATTGTTTAGGTGGCGAGTCTGACTGAGACGGTGCTTGCAAGAGGGATGCAAGAGCAAGAGTTGAAGCTGCAGGGTGAAAGTGAAACAAAGGGATCTGATATGAGTTCAAAGTGTGAAGGGTCCAAAGTGTCTTCTCATGTGGGGGGCTGTAAACAGGAAGATATTAGTTCTGGTAGGAGTGACATTTTGGATTCACACCCAGCTGATTCTTCTTATGCGTTTGACCCTGATCAATCCGACGTCTCACTCTCACAAGATGAACAAGATAACCTCACCCACAATCTCTACCCTTCCTACCTCTTTCCCAAGCTTGAAGAGGTCCATTACTCCGACCCTGCTCAAACTTCTTGTAATTTTGGATTTCCGGAGGAAGATCACGCCCTTTGGACCTGGGCCTACTAAGATTTCTCATTTCTTCCATCTTCATCTCTCTTTTTTTTTTAGTATTTGCTCTTTTTCTCAACACTTGTCACTGCTTCGTGCCTAATAACCAACAACTCAGAGCAATGACTACAGCTTTATTAGGATAGAAATTATGGTTTTTTCCGCATTTTGTTACTTGTAATCAAACTCTTGCTTCCAATGTAATTAAATAATGTCTTCTGCTTCAGAATGTAACTCTGCATTTAATTTCATGAATAGATCCAGAAAAAGGAAGCCCAATAATCACTTGCTACACTGCCAGAGATTAATATGACTATGAGTCTATGACTACGATTCTTCTTCATTTGGGTTATGGACTTCTGGGTCCCTGTTGTTTCGATTGGCAAGCAACACTGCATGACGAAGTTGACTTGCACATTGGTTGCAATACTTTCTTAATTGTAAGCTTCGTCATAAAAGGAGTGTCACTTTCCCAAGCTATGAATTGGAAAAAAAAAAAAAAAAATAAAAAAATTGGCCTTCGTGGCTATCCCTTGGATGATGATGACGGACTTTTCTTCTCGTTTATGATCTCTATTTCTGAATTTTTTTTTCCCAAGAGTGATGATATCAAGAAGATTCCTGAGAACCTTAGCATTTAAGAACATTTCTTTGAGCCAATGGGACATATTTTTCTTTCCATTTTTCAATAATAGTAATAATAAAAAAGTTACACCTGTTGAAACACAAATAAATTATTGCAACAACTTAAGCTTTTAATGGGGTACAATTAATGTTGGAGAATTGATATATCCTTCCAACCAAATAAATCGAATAATCCTCCTACTAAAGAAAAAAGTTTTAAAATAGTTAAAATCAACTACATTAATATGTATAAATTTTTAAATGAGTCGACTATTTTTTCGGCTCATTCTTTTTAGGTATTAGGATTTCTCTTAATATTATTGTTTTCGAAATTTATATTACAGGTTTTGTTTTTTCATGACTCAGAATATATGAAGAGGATTGAATAATTTATTCTTCAAGAGATGTGATCGAGCTGATCATCACTCAGCTCTTTTCATGATTAGTCTAATCTTTCTTTAATCATAAATATTCTAATATTCCATTAGAGAAGTGAAATGCTAAAATTTAATCGCAAGAAGCAAAGTTATTTTTTAATCGTTTATTATAATAGATTGGCTTATACTACAAAAAAAAATAAAACTACTATAATATTAACTTTCTTATCTGCGTTGTAAAGTTATGGAAGTGAATTTTAAGGAATGTAAAAAAATATCTTTTCAAAGAAGTTATTTTTTATTTATAAGAATTAAATTTAATATTAAGTAATTCAATTGACTAAGCTAACTCATCTTAATTTGGAGGCTTATCTCTTATGTATAGAAATTACTTTTATTAAGAAAATTAACTATTATATCGTAGATATTTTTCTTAAATACAATTATATTTGATGAAAAATATGTATAGACCCAAATTAAAAATAAATAAATAAACTTGAAGAGGTGTCGCTGAATCTCTTGAGTATAAAACAAGAAAAAAAATTGAAATAAAATCAAGAATTTATAATCTCGATGAAAATAATAAATGACACAACTCACATAATCATGTAAAAACTAACGAATATTTTAAGGAATAATAGGATCTTCATTATATCCACCGAAGTTATAGGCAGGGGAGCGACAAAAGGGGAAAATTAGCGTAAGAAAGAATTGATATTTAAAATTAAAATAAGATATAAATGCATGACGGATAATGAAAAAAAAATCTTAATCTTTTGTGTTTTTAACTGTTTCACATTAATTATGATGTTTTTCTTCCTTTTATTGTTAGTAATATTTGTTGAATTTTTACTATTATATTCGTTAAGCATTAAAAAGATATTAAATATATATTTAAAGCAATTACTGTGAAAATCAATAAACTCATTATATATAACAGTCTATAATTAGATAATCATATAAAAATCCTTTATATTATGATTGCATGAACTATAACCACGTAATCACAAAAATTTATTATTGATTGCGTGACTGTAGTTTTTTTTTTTGGTAAAGATGACTGTAGTTTGTTTACATGGTTAAAAATATTCATATTTGAAGAAGAAAAAAAAGAAAAAAAAAAAAAAAAGGTATATGAAATCCGTGTCAAAATTAGGGGTCTAGTGATGATGGTAATGAATATGATTATTTAGAACACTAACCCAGGTGAGACAATTCACAATAGCACGTTACGAGTACTATAATTGATATTCGTGGCTGAGAATGCTTGCATTAAGGGTCAACAACATGTTGTTGTTCACCGCTGGTGGTGTTAATTAGTTTAATCCCTGTTTGGATGGAAATTGCGTGAGGAAAGGTCCATGCTTTACGGCGTTCCCAGAAAGGTCCATTCACAAGATGCCACACGCCATCCTCCCAACGCAAACTTACGATTCCTACCAACCAGGTCAACCCCACCACACAGGGCCTTAACCCGATCGCCATCACGTGTACGCCCACGATCTGGCCACGTGCCACCTTTTTTTTTCTGGAGTCAAACAAAAAAAGGCAAAATCAAGAGATTCAAGAGCAACCACAGCCAATGTCCCAAGCAAACTCCGCAGTGGAATCTACACGTCATGGTGGACCCCACCCGACGTTGACCTCTCTTCAGACGTGTCTTTTATTCTGTGATCGTATTAAACTCGTAAAATAAAATATCTCTCCTCATCTTATAATTATTTACAAATAATAATAATAATAATAATCACTCCCACCCAAAAGATAAGCATGATTAATACGCTAAATAGGAGCACAGTACAATGTATGTAGGCTTCAATATAAAAATGTTTCTTAATGCAAACATAAAACTATGCCAATTTAATACATTTTTTATGATTTAGTTTTGGGTACAGTCGTACATAATAGATCTCGTAGTCAAAAATTATAAATTTCATGGATAGATATTTTTAAATAGCTTGTATTTATAGAAACAGATAGATTCATCTTGGTTGAAAATTTATAGAGGAAAAAATGGAATCATAACGTTCACCGAAAAAAGGAAAGGAATCAAAACACATGACAAGACGGAAGGCCAGGAGTGACACCTCTGGCATTGATATGTGGTGCATTATTTATTTTATGATATGAAGAAAAAGAAGAGTAATATGATTGATAATAGGTGTGGATATGATTCAGGGATGCAACACGATCAGTCACAAATCAATGTTTGAATCCAATCATTCAAAAAATTTAAACTAGTTACGAAACAGAGGAAGATAGTGACATTGCACATAGGGAAAGCAAGCATTCATGATTCATATATTTTCATACAAAGGAAGATTGAAGAGTAACAGTAAAGAGATAGCGGTACAATGCAAATACGAATCAGAATGAGAGACAACAAATCCGTATTGAATTGGCAGGTTATTTATAAAGCTTTTTTTTTTTTATAAATAAATTGCTTTCTAATAAATAAATAAATAACAATTTTAATTTGTTAGTAATTTAATTATATATATTATAATGTAACTTGTGAATGATAATAAAAATTAAATGTTCAAAATTATTCCCACGTTTAACCTTAAACTTAAACGTGTCATTACACGTTTAAGTTGCTTTCGTTGGACCCACTAACAATGTTTGCCGGTGCTTCATGACAGTGTGCTCTTACTCATATATATATATATA